GGGGGGGGCATGTTGACGTTCCTGTGACGTTGCATATGTATGTATAATTCTGTGCATGTAAGAACAAGGATGTGATGTTGTGGTTGCGTTGCTGGCAATGGCGCTATGAAAACAAAACCGCTAGGCTGTTCACAGTGACAGCCTCCACGTTGCGCGCACACTGAGCTGGACCGATCGACTTTGTGAAAAGGTTCCGATCGAATCGGTGAACATGTGTGTTTTCTCAGGTTTTTTCGTGTTTCAAGCGAATTTTGGTCCAAGTTTTGGACACAGAATTTCCGATTTACAAGAGGTTCCAAACCCTCTTTTCCATTGTTTTTTGCAGTGGATTTGCAACACCTCTGAAGTTGGCGTGCTAAAACGCACGCGCGGTTTTAGATCCGCCGGGATGTATATAATTGCAAGTCAACTCTGAACGCTGGAATCTTAATCTGAGGTGGCAAAATTGAAAAGCAAACTGCCATATTAATGTTGAATCACGCCGTTGAACCACATCGATGCCTCACTTCATTAGCTCCAAGCAAAGGAGAACAGCTTGCAAATGCTTGTCTATCATCCACAACTTTCAACCCTCTTTGTCGGACAATTGGCTCCCAAACTGGGATTACTGTTACTCTTCTGTTGCATTTCCTTCCATTCATGTCTGAGTGTGTACCATGTTACACACAAACACATGCAAATGTCTTAAGTTGACGAAGGATCCTGCAGCTAGACTACGACAGTGTGAACCTCCACAGTCGAGAGTCTGACAACCACGGTAATTACCGGCAATTACGTTAGAACAAGCCTTAAATAGATTCTACTTAGTACACTCATTAGAACGTCTCATCCGAGGTGAGTAATTAGGACCAGCCTCGACTTGGCGATCCCAGCGCAATCACCAAGAAGTCTTTATGAACTGACACCAGCTCAGCCAAATTGCCCTACAAGCTCAAACTGCTCAAACTCTAAGGAAGATGAAGGAAGCAGGTTTGCAGCTGCTTTCCAATTGATGCAAGACTACCTGCTCCGCAAGCCGCTCGGCCCGATGTGGCGACAAAAGAAATCGCCTTTCGCGCGAAGTCTGCGGTCGTTTGGTCGAGCGTGCGTTCCACAAGTAGCTAGAAGCTACTAGTAACAAGGGCATCGCTACTAGTACCAAGGGCATTACTACTAGTAGCTAGAAGCTACTAGTATTTTCACAGTTCTGGCCTGTCTTCCAATGACATTTCGCGATTCTCCAGCAAATTGTTCCTCGGGCGAGCACAAGGTCCGGAGTATATCTTTGAGCTTATGACTTGCGTTCCAGTGCTTGCAAGGCTCAAAAGGGGAAGAACATTTCTCTCAGCTTTCTCAATGCCCTCCAACCTAAGCACTTTGCAAATGTCAGAGACATCGTTCTGACCTTCTGGTCTATCTTCTTCTGCTTGGGTCTTCTGCTCCTTATTCTCTGCCTTTTGATCTGAGGCCACCACACCAACACACGTCCATGAATCGCAGCTTTCACAGGCGGCTGGTCAACATGCCTGACCGACGCAGCAACTCGGTCTGTTGTCTTCCTACAAGGCAAGGCCTTTCAAAATCATTCAAGTACAACAAGAGAGGAAAAAACAAGATCAGGGGTCTTATTAAAGGAGCCTCACCTTCTCATTCTTCTCTTGGACAGGTTGCTCCAAAACCCAGAACTCTTCGCCAGCGCGGCTCTCCAAGGCCCGAACGTCACACTGCCGTTGTAAATCTCACAACGTTGCTTGAGGTCTGCTTCGCCTGCATTTCTTAAACTTTCGCAACACGTAGGACACTATGAAACTGAAGTCAAGAAATCGGCCTGTGTCCTGGGTGATTCCAACATATTCCACCTGGTAAAACATATCAGCTTTGTCGCACTAAACCCACTCCTTGAGCAAGTTCTGGCTGTTCCTTCCTACTGTGGGATGTTGCCGCTGAAGCCTCCCACCCCAAGAGCTCGCAGAAGCGAAAGGCCACATGCCTGTCAAGTGACAAAGGGGTATCTTTTTTCTTTGTTTCTCAAAGCCATGGCCTCCTTCCTACATGAAAAAGAGCAGAATGTAAACTTGCTTGAGCATGGCCCAAGGTGTTGATCGTGCACGGGGTCCATGCCTAAGCCAAGGGCCCGGAGGACCAAGCAAGAACATGTCCTGCTGCAAGATTGCCTCAACTCGATGGTGATAGAAAGCGAACATAGGCTTTAGACTTGCTTGCGTGCAAATCTTAAACTACATGTTGCATTTTCTGCAAATCTTTAGCGCACTTCAAACCATACCAGTCATATCAGAAGGTAGGTAGATCTTTGCTTCTACAATCGATCAAACAACAATTCCAAGACCACTTAGGCTTGCCGGCCGCCTGCCCGACCTTGTTCTGCTTTGATATGGATCATTGATCAACCATGTAGATTCGACCATTGGGGTCCATGAACCCCGGCCAAAAGCTCGCCTTTTGCATCATCCATCTCAAAGCTGCCAGCTCCGACTGGGACTCCTCATGGGAGGTCTTGCTATGAGTGTCCAAATTCCGTTTCGGTTTTTCAGATTATCACAGGGGCCGCCTTTGGAACATGGAGCCCTCCACGAAGCGTTGGTGCTACTGGCACCTTTGTGCTATCAGGAAGAACACAAGACTCTCGAACATTCTTTAGCTTGGTGCATCACTTGCGACAAACAGCTTGGGAGGGTACCAAGTACGAAGGCCGATCCTTCCCCTCCAAGGACACATCTCCGATAGACACCACCTCTGACCGATCAAAACCGATGTTATTGCTCGAGATTCTAACAAGTGTCAGAAGGTGTCACACAGGAATAAGCCCCAGGCTCGGCGGGCACATTGTGCCATGTCATAAAACTTCCGGCCACACAGGCTGGGAGAACCAAAATGAAACAAATCTACAAATCTTCCTTTATTTTTTCTAATAGCTTCTTGTTACTAGTAGTAAGGCCAGGAGCCCCTAGTAGCGTCCTTGCTCCTAGTAGTAAGGCCAGGAGCCCCTAGTAGCTTCTTGTTTCAATTGTAAGGTCAGGACATTGTAGACGAACATTGTAACGATTGCAACTCGAATAAATGAGCTCTTGTACCAATCCTACAAGTCTTAGCGTGTAACATGCATTGAACATGCAATGTGAATATGCAAATCACATGTCACACGCCATGCCTTTTTCCAGTTTTGTTGAACATCATGAATCACGAGCCAATAACCATGCCGTCCACATGCCACTTGGTGGCAGAGTGCAAATGCACCATGGCACTATTACCAAGGAGTTTGTCGTCACGCTTCACCACAACCTTAGCATAGCCCTTGGTGTGGCCCACAGTCTGTCCACGTCGCTCATCAGTCTCTGAGAACCACACACGCATGGTCTGACCTGCAAGGTGATCCCAGGTCTTGTAAGACTCAAATAGTTGGGTCATCTCAGTGCTTCTTGCTTTCACAACCTGTCCGGGTAAGCGTTTCAAACGCGCGGCTGCAGTGTTGGGCCGAGGGTAGAACTGTGATATGTTGAGCATTGGAAAGCAGTACTTTTTCACCAAGTCCATGGTGGTTTGATGATCCTCTTCACCCTCTGCAGGAAAGCCGCAAATCACATCTGTTCCAATGAAAAGGTCTGGCACTTGGGAACGAAGGCCATCTACCAAGCGCTCGAAATCTGCACGGGTGTACTCACGCACCATGGCTCTTAGAACAGCATCAGACCCAGATTGTACAGGGACATGCAGGTATTCAAACACGTTTGGTCTTCTCAAGACCTCTGCCACTGCATCAATGTGAGCCAGCATGTAGGGCGGATTTGTCATGCCCAGCTTCAGCATCACATGTGAGGGCAAAGCATCAGCAACCCTGTGCAGCAAGGATGCGATGTTGCTGCCGATGTCAATACCGTAGGCACCAGTGTCTTCAGAGGTCAGCCATATTTCACTGACGCCTTCGGCCACTGCCTGCAGGGCCCGAGAAAGGATAGCC